GACACTTTGTTCCTACATGAGATTCTGCTTCCGACTCCTTCGGACACACCAGCCTTCGCTGCAGACCCCCTTTCAAGACACTTGGACACTTTGTTCCTACATGAGATTCTGCTTCCGACTCCTTCGGACACACCAGCCTTCGCATCCTGAACAAACATTTTCATTTTTATTTTTTCCCGACTTTGACAACCCTGTAGAAAATCATTAGCAGATACCTGTTTCCCTAACCATTGTCCCCCTTACCCACTAAAACATCAATAGAAATACCCTGTTTTCCTGAACACCGTTTCCCTTACCCAGTAGAACATCAATAGAAATACCCTGTTTTCTTGAAAACCGTTTCCCTTACCCAGTACAACATCAATAGAAGTTCCCTGTTCCCTTAACTTTGTTCCCCCTTAACCTATAGCGAACCATGCAGTCCCCTTAGTCCATCAGTAGGACCACCCTACTCCCTATCTTCCCTTTAGTTCATTTGTCGGACTACCCTGTTCCTTCCAAACCCCCCTAGTTCATCAGTAGGACAACTCTGTTCACCGGTACCAAACCCTGTTCCCTCTTACTCCCGCAGCCCATGCCACCCACATTATACCCCTCTTCCCTTTCGACTTGTTTACCAGTGATCGGCCCCGTGCCGTCCTTCACAGATTTCAGCATTGCTTCATGATTTTTGGCAGCCGGGACGTTGCCTTCTAGAGGGAGGGGATAGTGTTACGGACTTCGCCAGGGCTCGATCCCTGGTCTATCTTTTTGTTGTTTCGGCTGCATCCCGTTTTCGGCCTGGCACCCTTTTTCCAAACCCCTCCTTTGGTACCGTAGGATTTTGGACAACTAGTGCCATGCTGCAATTCGGGCGCCACTTTCAAATACCGCATTTTTCAGTTCTGCCCTCGGGGCCTTTGCAGAAATGCCCCTGGTACCCTACGTGTCACCGGTACTTATACCGGCTCCTCGTACGGTACGTGGACCAGTCTCGTACCAGTTCTCTGCTGCTGTAGTCGTACTCAGTGTGACTTGCTGTTTTCGACATTCGAAAATCCTAGACTTCGACTTTGTGCCTTGCCACTGTGTCTGCGTCCGATCCTCAGTCCGAGTCCGTCGTGTCGAGTGAGTGAGTGAGTGTGTGTGTGTGCTCTCACTCTCCCCCTCTCTCTCCTCTCCCTCGGCTCACCCTCAGCCTCACGCTCGTTACATGACTCCTCTCTCGCACTCACCCAGCCCGGCACATGCTTTCACGCACACTCCTCCCTTCAGAACGAGTCACGTGAAGCGTTCGATCTCTTGCCCTCGCTAATCTCAGCGAGGCAACAAGAGGCGACACAGATTACACACTGAAGAACAGAAGATGCGCAGCAGCCTGCTCCTGCTATGCCAGGGTCAACCGACAAGCGACAAAAGTCGTGCACGAAGGCAGATGACATCATCACATGCATCCAAGCGTAGGGCATTTTCGAGAATGGAGAATGCCACCATGAGGGCAAATGCCGGTCACTACAGACCTAGCGAAGGGTTCTCAAACAAGAGAGTCAGTCACTCACGTCCGTGCTTTGCATCCTCACCCTCACCGTGACCACTCGCGCGTAACACACTCTGTCTGTCACTACTTTGGCTCTTTAGTCATGCTATCTCTGCAAGCTGGCCTCTCACCTCCCATGTGCGTTGCACTCCCTCACGCGTGTGCTCACCTCCCTGCTCGTCTCTTCGCACCTCTCTCTTCTACATTAATTGACGCGCGTCTCTCTGCCTATAACTGCCTAGTCCTCTCTATCTTTGCCCCGTCGTGAGTTGACCTAAGGACCACTTTCTACAGGCTCGGTCGGTGGGTGGTCCTTCCGCCACTGGTCCAGCCCATGCCAGGATTGGGTCTCTGCGCCCAAATCGCTCGCTTCACTCTCGGCCTCCGTGTCGCGGTCCAAATGCTCCTGCTCAGTACCCGTTGAAGTCTCTGATTCCAGGTACGAGACGGTCACTTTCACTTCATCCGTGCCCCCGTCCCTCCTGCACCTCCTCTTGGCCCGATCCTTGGCTTCCGTGATGGCCGCCTGTAACCCCTGGTCAGCTCTCATCTCCTCCTCTTTTCGCCCTTCTACATTTATCTTCAGCCTTGCCTCCTCGTTGCAATGGCTGTAATCCAAAATGGCGGTCACCATTGGCCCATCTCCCGACATTCGATCCCACCTCCAGAGGAACTGGAGGTACTCTGGCCAATATCCGTACAACCCATTGCTGCGCACCATAGATGTGCCCCCTTTCAAATAGATGTATACGGTACCAGGCTGCCGACTCCAAAATAGCCCGGTCCTAACACTCAACACATGCATACAGACAGACTCCCACACGCTCACTTCGCCGCTCAGCTCTCTCTCCTCAGTTCACCAGTACTCGGCGTAACGCTGCCGCCTGTTCACAAGTAGCCAAAGACTCGCTTTCCTCAAACTTTATAGGATCGTCACATACCGCAGTCTCCCCGCTCTGAATGAGAAATAATATTGTACTTCAACAGTCATAGCACAGGCAGATTCCTCTAATGTATATCACCAAACTCCTCTGTTTCTGGCGTGACATGACGATAGGCTTGACGCGGTGGTCCAACGTGATACCGACGGCCACTCCCTTCTTTTCAAAACGCGCCACCGGCCCACCCCAAATGGGTACCCACGTCCGATGGTAAGGAGGGGACTCATGACCTTTCACAGGAGGTGATGAGTCTCCTACCAATGCGGCAGCGGGTGCCCCCATTTTAAGAACCCTGCCGATCGCGCCGCACTGTTCAAGTTCACGGCGGCTGAAGCGTAGGGGTCGCTATGCTCTGGGCCGCTTATGTATAATCAAAATTTAAAACCCAAGTCGTTCGCCTCCCCCCCACAAAATGACCGCGGGAAGAGAAAGGAAGGTTTCCAACAACTGGAAAAAAAACGCGCCTCAACAAAAGAAAAGAAAAAAAGGAAAACGGAACACCGCACCTATAGAGCCTGCATTTTCCCCCTACTAAGTTTAGACTCAAGTATGGTTGTGGGATGCGTTGTTCCTCCCTCAGCCCTTTCTTCTTTCTTTTCATTTTCCGCCTCCTTTACTTTCCTTACCCTTTTTCCTTTTTGCCCTTTTCCCACAGCCCGACTACTGGACTTGAAAAGCCTGAAAAGACCGTCGCCCCCTCGCTGCTGCTTCCCAGGCGCACCCAGCAGCCACCACGGCCATAGGGGATTGCGCTCAGCGGTGGCATCAACCGGACCAGCCCCGTGGCTGGGCGCAACCCAAACGGTCAGGAATGCCACAGAGGTTCCCAAGCAAGGAGCCCGTTACTACGCTGCAGAGGTATATGAGTGGACGCCAAGTACACAGCCGAGGGTCGGGACACCGCACCCTCCGACACCGTGTGCGCTCCTCTTCTCTCCAGCCAGCGCCCTTCCTTAGACCAGTGCTCAAACAGGCAGCACTGTCTCAGCTGCCTCCATCCAGAAAATGTTTGGATTGGAGGCAGGAACTTTCCTATATGGAAAGTGGCAGGACGGGAGGCTTCTCGCCTGCCCGAGTGCATGTGCGTGGTACCCAGTAGTTTCAGGGATGCACCAAGTATCTACACCCGTGCCCTTCCCTGCCCCGCTCGGTTTCAAGGTTCAACTGCCCGACGCGGCTGCTGCTATAGGCTGCTCTCTCATTGGCCAGTCGTCCCTTCGCCACATCGCAGCCTCGAGGCCCATCAAAACATGTCATGGTCATACAGATCCTGCGGGCGAATTAGTTGGGCAAGGGGTCGGCCAGTCAGAAAAATAGGCCCACAGGCCCACCTTCTTCTAGGGCGGGCACAATGTGTCGTAAGGGCCTCTGTCGAGGGCTCTCCTTCCACTCCCTCCTCCATAGCTTCGATAGTCCTATGAAAAGTTGTTACTGTACTTGATTTTCTACCCGATTCCTCAGGCTGCCAGTTTTGTTTTTACTCACAGGTTTCCGCGTCTTTCGTTTGAGAAAGAGGGGGCTCGAATTTGTGCAAGGTGAAGTGCTATTTTTGCACGCTGTTTAGTTTTCCGGACAGCGGGCTCTCGCTGATGTTCGAATACAAGTACATAGTGGTTGTGTGATTCCTAAATTGTGAAGCGGGTCTTGGAAGATGCTCCCAACTAGGCCCAAAGTGTCCCAGTGGTGCCCCGATTCCTCAGGCTGCCAGTTTTGTTTTTACTCACAGGTTTCCGCATCTTTCGTTTGAGAAAGAGGGGGCTCGAATTTGTGCGAGGTGAAGTTCTATTTTTGCACGCTGTTTAGTTATCCGGATAGCGGGCTCTCGCCGGTGTTCGAATACAAGTACATAACGGTTATGTGACTCCTCTGGCTGCCAGCTGTGTCGTTTGTACTCACAGCATGATCTTTCCCTGCTTAGCTCTGGACGTGATTGCAGTCGGATCCATAGGGATCATAGGGCATGCTTGCACTAGGACCTTTTTTTTTCTTTTCCATTTTCAAACGCTTGTGTGATTCCTCTCACTGCTAATTCTGTCGTTTCGTACTCACACTAAGATCTTTTGCTAATTGGCTCTGGACATGATTGCAATCAGCTCCATAGCTATCTTAAGGCATACTTGCACTAGGAGTTCTTTTTGGCAAAACTCAGGCGTGATTGTTGTCAGATTCATCCATGTTGGGCTGGAATTGCACTTACTTACAGTTTCCAACATGCTGGGGGGACAATGTCCTCAGCTCAGCAACTTGTTTTTTTTTTGTTTTTTTTGGGGGGGAAGGGCCTGGCGTTTGGACACCCCACTCCATGTAGTGTTGCCCATCCAACCCACACCGACGCCCTTTGGACTCCCCACTACCCAGCCCACATGGTATGACCATCCCACCCAGTGCCTCTCAGCCCACTTGCGCCCCTGCCCACGTGGTACCTCCCTGTCCTGCGTGGTGCTTCCCAAACCATATCCCACATAGTACATCCTGACCCAAATCCCGCATAGTACTGCCCACCACATAGAGGGAGGCACCAAGGAATCAAATCGGCAAGAGGCTCCACAGTGTGGAAATCAGGAGGTGAACATTTCCCATGATGAGATGCCCTGCTTCCCGTGCAGACATAGTGGCACAGAGAATCGTGCGCGTGTTTGCCCACGGCCGTGTAGCTCTGGCCGTGGGCTGCAGCGTGCGGAATCACTTGTTCTCCTTAAATTTTCTTCCATGGTACAACACGATCCAAGGACCAGTCTTCATCAGCTCTTCCTTCGTGAACCAACACTCCTCTATGGGATCAATATGATGCCTGAAACTGACCCTGTACTCCTGTGGTTCCAATGGTTTTTATTTGTGCCGATAGACTTTGGGATTGACATATCTTTGTGCTCCACAATGTCGTCAATATCCATGCGTCCATCCATGGTTGCGTCAGCATTGAGCTTCGTGTAGGAAACTGATGTCTCAGAGAAACGTGCGAGCTTAGATGCACGAAATGCAGGATAAGTGCGTAGGTGGCCAGGAATACCTATGACACAGAAGGGACCATCAGGATCACTCCCCACTAAGGAACTAATTTCCTAGACATGCCTATCTCTTGTCCAAACTCGGATGACTTCACCCAAACTCTATCCCCAACTTGAAAGTCAGATGGTTGTTTGTGCTTGTTCTCAGATGCAATCATTCTTAAGATTTCTAAATCTACTCAACACCCATCTGCAGCAATTTGTCATTATGGACAACAAATTATATGTTGCCAGATGCAGCTGTGGGCTGATTTTCAAGGAGGAAGTCGAGAGCAAACCTGGGCTTTCAACCAAGATGTAGCTCGTTGGGAGACATAGCGGACGTGTTGTGACCAACATTAGAGTACAGACTAGCCATGAGAGGCAATTTATCCTCCCAGTCATCCTTGCCCGTCTTGATATCTGCCTGAGCAAATGCTGCTCCACACGGTTCATCTAGTTCGCCTGGCCGTTGGCTTCAGGGTGATTGTCTAAAGTCTACAATTGGGAACCCATCTGCTCAGCAGCCTTCTTCCACAATTCACTTGTGAAATAGACATCTCTTTCACTCACTATGGACCTTGGCAAACCAAAATCAAGCACCCAATTATCAATATACAATATCGTGACATGTTCAATATTAGTCTTAGGCATTGCGCCTAATCGTGTGTACTTCAAAAAACTGTCCACTATGACGAAGATGTGCCTTTTGGAAAAGGGTGTCCATGAAATCCATAGACATGCTCGTTCGTGGACCAGTCAAAATAGGCAAAGGCTTGACTAATCCTAAAGGTGCTTGCGTTTGTGGTTTGTCGCGCTAACAAACCTAACAACTCTCTACATACAGCTTGGCATCCTCGAGCATACTGGGCCACCACAATCGCTGCACAAGGTTCGCTGAAGTATTCTTGTAACCAAAGTGTTCATTAGCATCATAGCACTCTCTTAGAAACAAACTTCGCAAAGACACTCGACTTGGCACACACAGTTTTTTATTCCCAAACTTTTCAAAGAATAACAAGCCGTCCACCACCGCAAACTCGTCAGAAGCGGGCTCGTCTTTGGCCTCGAGCTTGCACATGATGTATGTCATCAACACATCCTCCTTGTCGGCATCCACCATTGATTGAGTCTGATCGTGAGATAGCCCAAACTCCGTGATCTGCGCGCCTGAGTAATCTTCCCTACATGATTGAGCTTTCGCAAAATGTAGTACTCACCCTTTTTGAAGTGGAAGTCATGCTGATCAATGACTTCAATCCCCCTCTTGAGTGCATCTGAAAGAAAGGGTCACGTTGTCATCCAACGAAGGGTCTCATGGTCGGATCTTGCAATGAAGAATCGACCCAAGAGATGGTTCCTCCAATGTTTCAAGGCCTTATAAATGACATCGAGCTCACACTCGTACATGGATAGTTCTTTCAAAGTGTCAAGGCCTTATAAATGAGTGTGTTAACGTGCAGTTTGAGGGCACCCGTAGTTTCAAACGAACTTTTGTTATTTCATGAAATGATGTCGTAATTGACGACAAATAGTGTGAGTTAGAGAAAGGTTTAAAGTTTTGATTAGTGTCACGCGCACACTGACTGCGCGCATAAAACGCTGGTGGTGTAACGAGTGCTAGGCTGAGGAAGAGCCGAGGGAGAGGAGAGAGAGAGGGAGAGAGGGAGAGAGGGAGAGAGGGAGAGAGAGAGAGAGTGAGAGAGTGAGAGCACACACACACACTCACTCACTCGACACGACTGAGAGTCGGACGCAGACACAGTGGCAAGGGCACAAAGTCGAAGTCTTGGATTCCCGAAATGCCGAAACAGCAAGTCACACGGAGTACGAGTACAGCGGCTGGAAACTGGTACCAGACTGGTCCCCGTACCGTACAGGGAGCTGGTATAAGTACCGGTGACCCGTATGGTACCAGGGGCATTTCTGCAAAGGCCCCGAGGGCAGAACTGAAAAATGCGGTGTTTGAAAGTGGCGCCCGAATTGCAGCATGGCGCCAGTTGTCCAAAATCCTACCGTACTAAAGGAGGGGTTTGGAAAAAGGGTGCCAGGCCGAAAACGGGATGCAGCCGAAACAGCAAAAAGATAGACCAGGGATCGAGCCCTGGCGGAGTCCGTAACACTATCCCCTCCCTCTAGAAGGCAATGTCCCGGCTGCCAAAAATCATGAAGCAATGCTGAAAGCTGTGAAGGACGGGACGGGGGCGATCACTGGTTAACAAGTCGAAAGGGAAGAGGGGTATAATGTGGGTGGCATGGGCTGCAGGCGTAAGAGGGAACAGGGTTTGGTACCGGTGAACAGAGTTGTCCTATTGATGAACTAGGGGGGGTTGCAGGGAACAGGGCAGTCCTACAAATGGGACAACAGGGAGCAGGGTAGTCCTACTGATGAACAGAGTTCAGGGAACAGGGAACTTCTATTGATGTTCTACTGGGTCAGGGAAACAGTGTTCAGGAAAACAGGGTATTTGTATTGATGTTGTAGTGGGTAAGGGAAACAATGGTCAGGGGGACAGAGGATTAGCACGATCATAGGCGCGGACAAGTTTCATCGTGTTCTTAAGATTAGAGAGAGGTTCCCATGTAGATTCTTCGTCGGGGTATCCGGTCCATTTGACTTTGTATTCAGTGATTGGTTCTGGTTGATCAGATACCTGAGTGGTTCGTCGGCCGATGATAGTTTCGTCAACGAATTCAGGGCCTGTGGGTAGCATGATTGGTGGAGGTCTAGGATATGGGCGTCTAGGATATGGGCGCTCGGCGAACTGGGGCGGGGATTCAAGGTATTCTTTTAGGTACTCGACATGGAAGACTGGGTGGACGCGACTCATGCCAGGGGGAAGTTGGAGTTTGTAGTCGACGGGGGAGGTTTGTTCAATGATGGGGAAGGGACTGAGCCATTTGTTGGAGAGTTTCTTGGACAAGCCGTGTTCGGGTTCAAAGTGTCTGGCGGAGAGCCATACTTTGTCCCCTACTTTGAATGACACGTCGCGTCTATGTTTGTTAGTCTCGTTCGCTTGTTGTTCTTTGGTTCGTTCAATGACTTCGGAGGCTTCTCTCAGGAGCTTGTTCATTGTTGCTACCCATTCATTGAGAGAGGGGCAGGGGGTGGATGGGTTAAGCTGCGAAGGGAGCAAGAAGTCAGAGGGCAAGCGAAGGTGGTAGCCAAGGTCGAGGTAGAATCGGGACATGCCGGTGGAAGGGCAAACGACGTTGTTGTAGGCAATCTCGGCGGCTGTGAGCAACTGATTCCAATCGTGTTGGTGTGGATGACAATACTTCCGCAGGATTCTTTGGAGTGTATCGTTCATCTTCTCTGTTTGTCCATCGGTCTGTGGGTGGAATGCAGTGCTATACTTGAGCGTGGTTCCGTAGGCCGTGAAGAGGTGTTTCCAGAATTGTGAGAGGAAGCGAGGATCACGGTCACTGATGACGTTCTCGGGGAGGACGTGATGGCGAGCAACATGGTCGAAGAAGAGTGTGGCGATGTCTTTGGCGTTGTGCGAGGTCGTGCAAGGGACGAAGTGGGCATGTTTGGTCAAGCGGCAAACAATGACGTAGATGCAATCATGCCCGCGGTTGGTCTTGGGGAGGCCCCACACGAAGTCCATGGAGATGGACTGCCACCGGTGAGTTGGAATGGGCAATGATTGGAGCTTGTCGAGTTTGGCCCGGTTCGAGGGGTTGGCAGTTTGACACGAGGGGCATGAGCGAATGTATGCTTTGACGTCGGCGAGCAGGGAAGGCCAGTAGAAGTAGCGGGAGATGGTGTCGAAGGTTTTCTGGAAACCGAGGTGTCCTGCGGTCTTGGCGTTGTGGTGCTTGGCCAAGAGTTAAGTACGGAGACCACGTACGTCGGGGATGCAAAGTCGACGAGCGCCTTTGGTACGATGTACAGAAGGTTGTTGTGGAGGGAGTAGTCGGGGACTGGGTCAAGATCGCGAAGCTTGTTGTAAATGGTGGCGAAGTCTGGGCAAGAGAGGTAGCCTTGGGTGTATCGGTGATGGAGTGATGGGAGGAGTTGGGTACGAGTCGTGGAGGCGTAGACTTTCTCGGGGTGCTTATGGTCGGGTCGTCGAGAGAGGGCATCCGCAACGCAGTTGCTTTTGCCGAGGGTAGGGCAAATGGTGAATGTGAACTGGGCAAGGAAGTCTAGCTAGCGGGCTTGACGTGGAGTGATATCTTTCTTGGAGAGGATGGAGGAGACGACGGTGTTGTCAGTGCGGATGGTGAAGTATTGTCCGTCGAGGTACGGGCGCCAGACTGTGAGGGCGTGAATCACGGCGAGGAGTTCCTTCTCGTTGGAGGGGTAATTCATCTCCGCGGGAAGGAGCTTCTTGCTTGCCAAGGCAATGGGGTATTCGCCAGGTGGAGCCTCGGGGTCAGTGGGCGAGTCCTAGATGGAGGGGGTCTCGACGGTGTCGCGGGGGAAATGTTGGGACAGTACGGCTCCAATGGCGAAGTCGGAGGCGTCAGTGGTAACATAGAAATGGCGAGTGGGGTCGGCAATCTTGAGGACAGGGGCCGTGGTGATGGTTTGCTTGAGTAAGTCGAAAGCGTGTTGGCGGCAATCGTTCCAATGGAAGGGCTCGTCCTTGCGGGTGAGTTCGAGGAGAGGGTAAGAGATCTCGGAAAAGTTGCGAATGAACGGGCGGTAATAGTTGGCAAGGCCGAGGAAGGAACGAAGTTGGAGGAGGGTCTTGGGTCAGGGGTACTCGGCGAGGGCTGTGACCTTCGAGGGGTCCATACGGATGCCTTCAGCGGAGACAATGTGGCTGAGGCATTCGCCGCTCGAAGTGGCAAACGTACATTTGCTGAGCTTGGCGTAAAATTTTGTTCTCGGAGGATCGAGAGGACTTGGCGGAGGTGTTGAAGGTGGAACTCGAAGGTGGGGCTGAAGACAAGGATGTCATCAAGGTAGACGACGACACAGACTTCGAGGAGAATGCGTTCATGGTAGATTGGAAGGTAGCGGGGGCATTGGTGAGTCCGAATGGCATCACGAGGAACTCGTAGTGCCCGAACTGAGAGCAGAAGGCGGTGTTGTGGGTGTCCTCCTCACGGATACGGATCTGGTGGAAGCCACTGCAAAGGTCGATCTTGGTAAAATACTTGGCTCCACGGAGACGATCAAGGAGCTCAAAAATCCAAGGTAGGGGGTACTTGTTCTTGATCATGTTCCGGTTCAAGGCACGGTAGTCTGTGCACATGTGCAGTTCCGAGGTTCCACCTTTCTGGACAAAAAGGCAGCTGGTTCCGAAGGGGGATGAACTTGGCTTAATGAACCTTTTTCGAGAAGTTCACTGAGTTGCCGCTTCATTTCTTCAGCTTCGGGGACAAAGAGTTGGTATGGAGGGCGGCAAGGTGGAGAATGTCCGGGTTCCAAATCGATGGTATGGGATACGCCACGATCCGGAGGTAGTCCGGCGAGTAAGGACTCAGGAAAGACGTCCTTGAACTCGTCGCGCATTGAGGTGATGGCGGGGTTGGAGGGGGGGGGCTTCATTGGGTTTGTCCGTCGGGAGTAAGTCCTCGGTCGCGATCAAGGACAAGACAGTAGTAGGCAGAGTCGGGGTTTATACGAGCCATGTGGAGGAATTGGTGCGAGGTGACAGAGCTTTGGGAGATCGGATATGGGAGATAGGGGATGTCGATGGTTGTGTCGGGGGGGTTGGTGAGGCGAAGGAAGTTGGGGTGGAATGCGTATGGCATGTAGCGGTCCAGCCACGGGGTTCGTAGGACGATGTCGCACATCAAGTGCATGACATTAAACGAGACCTGACTACGGAGGGTTCCGACGGTCATGGTGGTCTCGGGAACCGTGCGGTCTACTACGACGGCGGTGTCTTTGTCCCCTAGGCGAATCGTGATCGGGGAGTCATARCCGGTAGAGGTAAGACCGGCTTTACCGACACACGCGTCGGTGATGAAGTTACCGGTGGCTCCAATGTGGAGGAGGGCCCGAAACTTAGTTGTAGATGCACCAAGGGTGGCGGCGATGAATTTGAGGTGGAAACGAGATGAGTTGGCGGTGGAGATGATGGTGTGGAGGAGCCGTTGTTCGTTGCCTAAGCGGACAAGCCGATCGTGTCGAGCTTGTTCCTCAACAACATCGGAGCAGGTGACAGTGGATGGGTTTGGAAGAAGGGTAGAGGAGCATGACGCAGTGGGAGGCGTTTGCGACGTCTGGGAGTCGTTCGATGGAGGGAGCATCACCGGAGAAGGGGGAGGCAGACAAATTGTCGATGCCAGATGAGCCATCGGTGGGACGGAGGACATCGTTGATGGGTGGGCCGATAGACGCGATATCGATGCTGGGACAATGTCCTGGGGACTGTATTCATGATGAGGAGGGACCCGCGCTTGCCAAGGGCGGTGATGTGGAGGTTGCAGGTCGAGTGGAGGCGGACTGGCGGGTGAATTGTGCGGCGTTGGGGCACTTGGTTTGTTGGTGCCCCAATTGGCGACTACGGAAGCAGCCTCTGTTTGCTTGGAGGTAGGTGCGCTCCTCGGGGGTGTGTTTCTTGAGGCGGGAGGGTGGGGTAGATGAGGGTGGGTGTTGACGGCGTTCATATCGATGCTAGAGGATTGGGCCATGTTGCGGGAAGATGGAGTGGATGCGGTGGCTGAGGCGTCGGCTGCGAATGAGGTGGAGGCAGACACGACGGCAGCGGCAACAGCAGCGGCGACGTCAGCGGCTGCGCGTTGGGAGGTCTCGTTTTGGCGTGGTGGCATGCGGAGATGTAGGTGTGGCAGGGGTGGGGGTGGGGAGGGTATTTACAACATTAATTGATTTATTCAAAAAAAAGGTTTTTGCCAAAACAATAAATGAATAAAATGAGAATTAATTCAAAATAAATTATTCCAATTTCAAAAATTCGGGAGGGATTTTGCGGGAGAAAGGTTGGAAACACGATATTTTCAGGAATGAAATAAATGCTGAAAATATCGTTAAAAAATAATTAATTTCGAATAAGTAAATTCTGGTTAAATTTATTCGAAATGAATTTAGGGGTATGAAAAGCATGAAGTTGCAAAAGGAATTAAATATTCCCAAAGTTTGAGAATTTCGAAAGGAAATTTATTAAAATATACGAGAAAAAAAATTAAGTAAAATTATTTCCGAATTTCGAAGGAATATCGAAAACGAATTAATTAATTCTATGCATTTTGAATTACGAAAAAAAAATATATATAAAAAAATAATTTAATTCATTTTAAATATTTTTGAAGTACAACAATTTCAAAAAATAATTGATTTATCCTTCGGGACATCCGTTTAAATTGGAACGATACAGAGAAGATTAGCATGGCCCTTGCGCAAGGATGACACGCATAAATCGAGAAATGGTCCAAATTTTTGGGGAAAAAAAAAAAAGAATTGATTAAAATTGTTTTGAAATTCCAAAGAAGAAATGCCGAAATTTTTGAAAAAGAAAATATTTTTTAAAAAGGAATGTCGAGAAAGATAGTTGATGAAGTATTTTCGAATTTACATGAATTTCAAATGAGTTCTAAAAACAATTAAAATAAATAAATAAATAATAATAAGGAATAAGTTAGTTTTGATGTAAATCGAGGGCGGAGCGATCCTATCTACGATTGATTGGGTGGTAGCGTGGTAGGTAGGGGGTTGCACGGGTAGATTGACGATCATGATGATGATGATAGTGATGGTGATGGGGGGGGAACATGGGGAGGAAAGTCACGCACGGGGGGGAAGTCGTGTAGGGCGTGGCAGGGGATCGTGCGGAGCTCGCGCGAGGTGCGCGTGGCAAGGAGAGAGTTGGGGGAAGGATTGGGGGGAAGTCGGAGGGGGCGGAAGGTCGAGGTGGGGGTGTGCAGTTGGGGATCGTGGGGGAATCGGGGTCGGAGGAGGGAGTTAGGTGGGCGGGCAGGAATGAGGTGGGGGAAGCGGGAGCGGGG